TGCGGTCCCTGCCCCCGCCGCCGTGGCCACAGCGGTGGCTGCGCCTCGATGCCGTGCTTCAGCTCGGCAGCTGGGCACCCCAAAGCACCGGTCCAGCCTGCAATGCCGTCAGTTCGAGAGGGTGGGGGGCGCCTGCCATGCTAGGAAAGCCGCGTCTGGGTCTGCTGTAGGCAACGCGCACTAGGAGGCCATGCCGTAAATCGCAATAGCGCAGCACGCGAGAGCGTTGTTTGCCGTCCCCTGGTCTGAAGCGAGGAAATAAACAGTGAGAAAAGCCTGTCCGTGTGGTCCTTGCACTTTGGGAGGAAGGTATTCGGTGTCGCAGTGTGGCTCTTGTGCCCTGCTCGCCCCAGCCCCACCATGACCCATCCTTGTCATTTCCCTCCCTCAGGACTTCAGACCCCCATTCTCCGCGATTGCAATCACCCTCCCTGGCCCCTGTTACTCCTTGCTTGGAGTGTGGCCAAATGCTTTCCCCATCCATCACCTGAGTCCTGAGGTGCCCCTCCAGACAGTGCTGTGGCTTTGGGACCCTTTTTCCTCCACCAGACCTATTAAAGTTGGGGTGTGCTTGAACACAGTGGGTTCATGCTTGCATCCATGGCATGGTGGCCATGTCCAAAAGAAAATGTTACTTACATAACAGTGTGTTGTTTTGCTCTCCAGTTTTTACTCAAGTTGGAGCGGGAGGCAGAGGCGGAGGGAACAGTGAGGCGGCAGTGGTGTAGCCTGCTGTGTGGAGAAATGCTGCCCTCTGGGGACTTCTGGGGTTCATGGAGCTGGCCTGCTTAAAATAATGTGGCTAAAGAGGAGGAAATGCATGTTCCCCCTGCCCCACATGCAGAGGCCAGCTTGGAGAGCTTGGAGAGGCAGCTCCCCTTCCCAAGCACATACCCAGATTTTTGGGGAATAGGCAGGGGTTACTGATGCCGCTTGCCAGTGTCAGGATGAGGATGGAAACACCGTATTTCCATCAGACTCTGGATGGGACCATCTGGCACGACTCTGGTGGGCTCCAGGATCCCCTCCTGTCCTTGAGTGCACTGCTCCAAAGGGCTGGCAGGCTGGGACTCTTCCTGAATTTGCACCCTGCAGGGACCTGGCCATCAGCAAGGTCTTGGCACCATCTAGTGGGAAAAAAAGCCTTTTGCTGTGAGGGTTTTTGTGCAGGTCTGAGAGTGCTGCGGTTTTCCTATTCTTGAAAAACTTTTCTGTGCTTTCCTTAAAAAGCAGCATAGTCCAACCCTACACATATGACTTCTGCTCGTTACAGAATATTTTTGTTTCCTGTTACAGAATATTTGTGTTTGTCAATTTTCCCATGCGGAAGATTGGCACTAGCTTTGTACAGCACAGAGGCGACAACCCATACATCATCGTTTCCTTGCATATTTGCTTTAAAGGTGCTCAGGTTTCTCTCAGATGACTCCATGCCTGTGTAACAGGGCACATCACTGAATTTTGGCAGGCTCTCCTTCCTGCTAAAGGAAGGTTGCACTGAAGTACCTGCTCTTACTCTTCCAAAACTCAGTTTTAACTGAGTGCTTAGCTTGTATGTGGAGGAGCCTGGAAATGATGAAAAACCATCCCAAAGGTTTCAAAGCCACATTTGGTTCAGGCCTTAAGCTCTGCAGTGTGTTGTGTTTCTGGGGAAATGTTCATTCCGACATATAAGCACGTAGTTACCTGTTCACATGCTTTTTTCTAAGGAAGAACCTGATGAAGTTACTGCCTGGAGTCTCTTTGCATGGGCATAGGGGAGTATTTTGCTCGAGTGTTTCAAGGTTTCTTATTCCATGTTGTAAATGAGCATGTTGAAACAAAGCGAAGTCCCTAAAAATCCTAGCTTCCCTTGCAGGCATAGTCATAGTTGTGCATTAAAAGTAAGAATTGGAGGGATATGGCCAAGTGAATATGTGCATTTAGGGGAATGTCATGCTTATAGGAGAAATGTCTGTGTTAATTGGAGATTATCACTGATTTCTAGTATCCGGGTGCTGAGTGAAGAGGGTTTTCTGCCACAGCCGTGGCAGAGGAAAATGGCCAGATTTTGCAGAAGTGGATTATCAGTAAAGTGTGGTTCAAGTGAGGGCCTGCTCATGAAGCGGTAATGGAAAAAGAAGGCACAGTAACCTTTGGCAGAAAAAGAGAAGTCAGCTTTCCTGCACATCATGTGAGTGAGATCCAGGCAGCATGAGCCACCCTTCCCACCCCAGACAGCGATGGAAATTGCTGATGTGGCCCCGTGCCCCTGGACAAGGACCAGGCATCTCCAAGAGGCGCAAGCATCGCGATTGTGGAAACCCGGCCAATCTCAGCCCCACGGAGCCTTTCCGGGGTGGCGTCATCGATCCTGGGCAACACGCTCTAGGTGACCCTGCTTGAGCAGGAGGGTTGGCCTAAATGATCTCCCGAAGCCCCTTCCAACCTCAACGCCTCTGCGACAGCAAAGCAATGGTGGGTAGGGACATGAGGGTTCTGGAAAATGTTGTTAACACCTAGCAGGTTTCAAGGAATATTTGTAAACAGAAAGATTTCTTTAGCTTTGCATTCTGGCTTTTACAGCCCTGCTGAAGTGATAATTAATGTATCTTTTCTTGGGAAAAAAAAATAGTTTTGTTTTGTTTTGTTTTGTTTTCCTCCCCAAGGAAGTCAGAATGAAGGACAGAAAGATTCAGGGTTTTCTGCAATGCCTAGGAGCCAGCAGAGGATTCAGAGCGTGACTCCAAGCATAGACACAAAATACCCCAACCTGTGGTATAAAACCCACCTGCTCCAGGGTGGTTTTACCTTTGCTTCCTCCTCTTGCTATTGCTCACAATCTTTGGGCAGGTCCAGTTCAAGACTCAGCGATGTCACCACTGAGGGGGTGACACTGAATGGGGGACCCTCCCCACAGAGGGTTGTGACCCAGGCCAAGGTGGTACCACAGTGCTCAGGCTTGCGGTGCAGGCACCGTGAAGCTCTCGGATTCTGTGTCCTTCGTGACGTGAAGTGGGAATCTGCAGGCTTCCTACACACAGTAGCACTTTGCTTATCTATACGTGGACTGGAGGAGTCTGATGTTTACAGCCTTACGTGAACGAATGATCCGAGGAAAACTTCCGCACATTGAAAGAGAGCTGGATGGCACTCCTACTTGGCTGACTGTAAATAAACACTGGGGACGTGTAATGCTATCCCATGTGTACTTGGCTCTAGCTGAGCTACTTCTTTACAACATGGTGTTTTTCTTATGTTTTTTTATGTGTTTTGCAATCAGAAATCTGTAGGTTTGTTTGTGTGCTCATGATTGAACCACTGAACTGCTTTACCTCCCCTGCACGCGGTGTTCAGGAAAAGCCCCAACCGAGCAAGTCAGACTGTCTAAACACTCGAGCTGCAGCCTTGCCTGAAAGCCAAAACTAAGCTATAATTTACTGGAAGGGAAGGTCTTCTTTAAACTTACAGCAAGGTGCATATATAGAAGCGTAACGAAACCATGTAATGATTGTCTGGCAGGGCTAGGGGTCTGCCAGAGCGGGAAGGGACTGTGTCTAGCACAGTTGGAGTTGGTCAGGCCATAATCCCACATCCTTGCTGAGAAGTTTCCCTGATTTCTGCCAGTCGTGGCGCTCTTCCCCGGCTTTCAGCACTATGTGAAGGGGAATAGGGCTAGGCCTGGTTGCCAAACATGCAACTCATGCTAAGCGCTGGCTATGAATTCCCACCTGGCTGCTTTTCACTCCTCTTTGCACAGGTCTGTCCTTCTGTCAACGCTGTCCTGGCCCTAGGATTTTCATCCTGTCTTCCACTTTGCTCTGTCTTGCAGAAATCAGCATTTGCTTAACAGTTACATGGGACTGTCAGACCTCCTCCATCCCTCAGGGCCTCATTCGCTGTGCCTCAAACTCAGCTTTCACTCCTGTTTGTTGCTAATGGGTTTGGACCAAGATCACAGTGGGCTGGCAGAAGGATCTCTTGCCAGGAGACAGTTGCCCTATACACCATATGGACTGTAAAAGGTAAATAACTGATAGTGGTGATGGGTACCAAGGGGCATGTGGAAGACCTTCGGGTTAGTTGGCCCAGACCTGTCTCCACTGATTGGGAGGTGACTTGCACAGCAGATGAAATGAAGCCTTGAGGATTGGGTTTCCCTGCCCGGGCTCCCTTGGCTTTCACAGATGGCTCTTACACACCGTGGTCAAGGTGTTACAAAGGTAAATCAATAGCGGGGTAAGTGGATGTCGGGCAGGGCTCCGGTAAAGATCCCTTAAATGCTCAGAGCTCTGAAAGGTGCAAGAGCAGAGTCTGAAAACTCCCTTCTCCAGCACGGGATTAAGACCAAAGGCTGTAGGCAACGCCGAGCAGCTGCCAGCCCAAGCGCCTCCAGCAGCTGCTGTGATCTGCTAAGCAACACCTGTATAAAAGCTGCTTCCTTGGCTCTCACCCTTTCTCTGGGTCTCCTCTGTCTCTAACCAGTTCTTGGTCTGATTTGTGTCAGAAGGAAGGCGCAGGTTTTATTGCCTCTTCCCAAGTTCCTGCTGCACATGAGACCCGTTTCCTAAGCTGGTAGAGACCTGGAGACAGGGGGTGTATCTGGTACCAGGAAGGAGTGGTGGCCCATCCAGGGTGCCAGCCACTCACTGAAGCTTTTGCTCAAGGTATGTGGCATGGAGCACCCTTTTTTTTTTTTTTTCCTTCTCCTTCTTGCTGTAGCTCTAATTCCCTTTCCCTCAGGAACTGAAGCGTTTACCTTGCTGATGCCAGGGGCAAAGCATGATTCATGAGCCTGGCAGCGAAAGGCTGCTGGAAAATCCCAATGTAAAGGATTTAAACACTACTGAAAGCAGCGGTCTGCCCCACTTCAGGCATTGCTCAGAAATGATTCATGTTTCCTTGCCTGGGTTTTATACAGAAAGGGGCAAGCTTTGCCCTTGGCTGCTCCTGACAAGGTGTTGCGTTGGGCAGCAGCCCAAGGAGGTGTGCGATATTTGATGTCATACCATATATATTTGATAGCCGCTACAACTCCCGCTCTGCCCAGAGCAATGCCGAGTTCCTCTGCTGACAAATGACCATCATCGCAGCTGGGCTCAGTGGTCTACTCCAAAATTAGCCAGTCTTGGGATCTTTCTGCCACCCCTTGGTCCAGGCACGGAGCTGTGGCCGGCACATGCATGAGTCCAGGCAATGCCGGCTGCCACCTTGAAGCCGTGGCTGGCAGCGGGCCTTGGTGCCTTGAGCATCTGGCAGAGGAAGGGAGTGAGCGATGTGGCTGTGATTTGGTTTTCCTTGGAGGTCCCTGAGGGCAGGCGAGTGCCAAATCGACCTGATGCCTCAGGCGCTCTCGCTAAACTTGAGCCAGAATTAAGGTTTCTAGAAGCTCTCTAGGTTTCGCCCAAGGATTCTTGTGCAATTTCTTGGGAATGCAAATACCTTTCTTCTTATTTTCACCTTTCCTTCTTCCTCCTGTTTTGTTGATCTTATTTTTGGAAAGTCTAGTTTAGGTTTTAATAAACTCTTCCCAAGCAGAAAGAGGAGAGAAGGGGACAGGGTCTCTATCCTAACCTAAGAGGAGCTTCCCAAACCCCAGAGCTCCCTGACCTCAGGGCTGTTGGCTGCCTAGGGCTTCTTTTAGACATTTGTGTTACTGCTCCTTGGGCTGCAGCAAAACGCAGGGGGCAAAAGCAAAAGGCAAAGACAGTCCTGACTTCCAGTGCCCCCCTGCACGCATATGTAGCCATGGCTTCTCCCAGAGACAGCCACTAGGATGTCCTGCGTTAGATTAGGGAGTTTTGTGGAAGAAGTGGAGGAAAGTTTTGCCCATTCCAGGAGCTGAGAATTTTGTGTGCCCAAGTGATTCCAGCAGCCAACACCCAAGTGGATTTGCACCCCACTAGTGCAATATGCTCAGTGAAAAAGCTATACTTCCTTTTTTACTGATATCTTGCGATATCTAGAATAACTTGTAGGCAAAAGTGGGGTAGGAGCATGATATATATATATTTTTTTTCCCAAGTCATATGCTGTCCTCTAGGAGCTGGACAGGCTCTGCGCGGAGGTGAGGGAAGCTGCGGAACATGTCGCAGCGATGCATGGATGTGGTGATGTGTTAAGTAAGGGGATACTCACTTTTAAGGCCCTACCATGATTTCAGAGAGGAAATTGTTGATATTTTTAAAAGTTTTTTTTAAGCTATAGTGGCTTAGCAAAGTGTATAGCAAAGAGTATTCAGTGCATCACTGAAGAGCTTCAGTTAAGTGCCTTTTTCCTTGCACCATCCAGGCTCTCCACTCACAAGACACCAATTTCCAGTTGCTGTTTAATTATTGAGCTTGCTAGACAAGCAGGGGCAAGTCACGCACTTGTTGCTGCCTTCAATGATATATTTCGCCTGCAGGGCCACGTTGCAGGGAATTACCCGCCTGGGCAAAATGACCTCCAGCTACTGACGTCCTTGGCTGCCACTATGCAGCCACCCATTGCTCTGTTTGACCTCGCCTATAGCCACAGTTCCTCCAGCTTGGTCATACCCATGTTTAAATGCACTATCCATTCCAGGAGACACTGCAAATAAGCAATGACTTGAGACTGCTCCCCTTTGATCAACAAAGTTTGCCTTTAAATATTTTGCCCGGCTCTAGTTCTTTGGAGCTAGAAAATATTTTTGCTGGGAAAAATGTGTCTGATAGCTTTGGCTTGGAAGGAATATGCTACAGAGTTATGGGAGCTTATATGACTCTGTATAAGCATTCTAAGTGTGTGTATATATATATATGAGGAACTGAGTATTTTTAAGTTATACAATTGCTTGATCTCAACTAAGCGTTCATGTCGCGCTGCTGATAATGAAGTACATGCATGTTGTGGCATATGTTGAATCTTTCAAAAATATCATTTATAGCCTGGGTGAAGCGAGCTGCTCTCAGCAAGCCAGCTGTCATTATATGTTAACAGCAGCCCTTCCCAGACCACTGGCTTAAACAGGAAGCGAGAGAGACGTCTGCCCTGGCTTCAGCTTGACAACCCAAATCCGTCACAGTGTTTTGAAATGCACAAACCATAACTGAAAATAAACCCCATTCTTGTGCTTCAGTCTACATTTGCAATTATGCTTGGTAACAGGAAGCAAACGATGTTAATTACGTTTTGCATACTTCTTGTGTGCTTTCTTAGATGTTCTGTAGGGAGATTGCTATGTTGAAATAGAGAAACCAAGCAAATAGCCCAAGGCCTGTTTTCCTTGGAGAGCTTCATTTCCCTCTTATTGCTCATTTGTGCAGGTCCTACACAGAAGAGATTTCTTGGGAAGTAGTGATTGAGTTGGGTGCACAAAGAGTTTCTACTTCTGGGCTTTGGCCCTGCAAGAAACTTCTTTGAACCGATCATGGTGGTGATGG